AAATGGTTGCTCCGTGCGGGAATCTAACCCGCGACACGTTAAGCGGCGGCAGCCACTTTCCCAGCCACCGCGCCAACCGTGCAGTAATTTTATTCTATTCAACCTATAGTCTTCCCCTGGATATCTGCTACAAATTTAACAAATACAGCAGCACTTTATGATATATTTGAACCGCGCTGAAGGAGATGAGACATCTAGCATCCCCCTTTTGTCGCGGAGAACCTAACGGGTAACCGGGGCTCCGGCTCGACGTGCAGGAGAAGGAACGGGGTGGTTTTTAGTCAGTAAGAGTCTGACACTCCCTTCCGCCTCACCCAGGCGGGAGCAGTCATTCGATGATTTTCCGCCCTTAAAAAAAAAAAAGCTTGGAAATATTATTCTTTTTTTACCTGCTATTGTAAATACGTATCTAGTAAGAGCAGGATTTAAGTCAATCACTGAGTACAAAAATAATTCTAGACTAGTCCTAGAAACGTTACCAAATCACGAACAAACCAAACCACTTCATTTATTTGCACTTTAGTCCTCCTTATGTATTCACGCATCCTGGTCCCCACGTGTAAGGCTGTTAATGTAAATCTAATAACGATTGTATCTCTATATCCGAAGGCTTATTTTGCAACAAACCTCTTTACAACTTCCCTATTCCCGTTACAGAGTAAATCCTTGACTTTTTATCAGCAATTATGTACTTATTTTTCATGAAGGGCGCTGAAGGTCATACTGTTATCTGTGACGGCTTGTGTCGTCTCTTGATGTTATTCTCGTTTTGTTTTACGTGGTCTGGTTATCTTTGAAATGTAGTGTAGTGGATTTCGTAAAAAAAGGGTGTTTGAACGGCTATTTATGATAGCATTTATGTCTTCAATTGCTCAATATTCTATAGCATTATGTTAACGTTACAAACTCGAACTCATACCCTACTCCAATTCTCAATAAACAAGCCAGTATACATTCAATAATATCAAAAGATTAATTACAGCGATGACTTCAAAGCTCCCGATACAATCTCCACTGAACAAAATGAAGTAATTTATTTTTCTTTGTAAAACCTCCTTGTATTGGAAATTAAAACAGGCCGCTATTTAACGACCTATTTCCCTAAGCTACAGCAATAAGAGCGAACTAATTTAGCCGTCCTTCTAAAATTAATTAGATACCTAATAAAAACTTCAACGTCCCGGAAAATCAAACAGCCTGTACGAGTTTCCGCGAAAAAAATAACTAACGTAAGAATAAAAATAAAATCACAAGATAAAAACCTTTTTAGCGAACATAGGTTGATGGTACAAGGGTCGTTAAATATTTCTTTATATTATCTCGTAAAACGTGAACGTTGTGTGTGCGTATATCCCCCGTATTATACGGAACTCCGCGAGATACCAATAAGTTGATTTTAGCTAGCTTACTCGCGAACATAATTTTGTTTTGATGCTATAAAATATACATCCTGTATGTTTTAGGGTTCTCTTTTAAAAAGTATGACTAAATACTAGTGACATAACAACGGTTCTGTTGATATCAATATAAATAAATGGTTATCTACATTTTTTTTACTATTTTGATCAGTGCCGAGTTTATGTTATGAGTCCCATGTAATAAGGGGTGAGCCTATAGCCATTATACCGGGCACAATTCCAGACTCCGTGCTTCTACTGAGAATTTTTTTAAAACCCGGTAATACTCTGCCCGACCTGGGAATCGAACCCGAGACCCCTTGCCCGGCAGTTGCATTGCGACCACTCGGTCTACGACGCAGTCTTAACTTGAATTAGATTATTAATTAGAAGTAACTTCTATTAAAAACTATATATTTATGTTTAACAAGAAATCGTTAAATGAAAGTCAACACAACCACGGGCAACATCGCACAATATTATAAAATCTCTTTTAAACAACATTCAACACGGATTCACTAGAACAGCTTACATTTCGCGCTTGCCAACAATTTTTATGAATTCACGTTGAAAGTACAAAGCGGGATCCATTAGACATAGCGCTCTGGCTTACAATACGTCGTTATTCTGTTATTAGTATGTTACACCCTGTATATCGCGGAGATGTAACACTCTGTATACGTGCTGTGATAATAAGAAAAGAGTTTAGTGGAAAGTTTTTTTTAAGGCTAAATGTTTTAATGGCAAGAAATGGCTAGTATAAAATATGTGCTCAATCGAGGAGTTAGTTCAACAGTAGACGTTTTCCAACTTATGATGATAATGAATAATAACATAACATGACATCACGTCTTTTATCCCCGAAGGGGTAGGCAGAGGTGTACATTATGCCACTGTACAATGTAACACCCACTTTTCACTATTTATATTATGAGTCCCATGTAATAGGGGGTGAGTCTATTACCATATACCGCGCACAATTTCAGACTCCGTGCTGCTACTGAGCTTTTTTTAAAAACCCAGTAACATTTTCGCTAATGTGGAAGAGCCATGCGTCGGCACGAATGGGCCGGCTCGGAGTGATACCACGGCCTCACAGAAAACCGACGTGAAACAACGCTTACGTTGTGTTGTCGTGTGAGTGTGGTTACCGGAGGCCCAATAATTCCCCTCCCCAGTCTCCCCAATACCCCAATCCTATACAATCCTAAAATTTCCAATTTTCGAAAGTCCAGTAAAGCACTTGTCCAAGGTCCTCTGGTGTTCCAGGTGTCCATGGGCGGTGACGATTGCTTACTATCAAGTGATCAAAATCTTAATTTTCTTTATTTTGACAATCATTTTTTCTGACTCGACAAAAATCGATCACACGTAAGCATCATGCCAGCTTATTCTTGCAGATGACGTATAATCTAACATGATTATGATATGATAATAATATGAGGTACCTACATACAACTGACGATACCTTTGAAACACAAAACCCTAGTACTATAACTTACTAAGTCATGAAATTACGTTAAATTAGCCAAGTCATCGTTAAGTAGGTTCACTTATGTTACTGATGTCTAACCAGTCAGTTATCACATGTTTATGATGTCACATTGATAACCATAATCGTATGTCTTATCACTCGTATTATCATTGTATCAAAATAATACACAGTTAAGAACCACAACAAATAGATATAAATAAATATGATATCATGTACTATCACGCTACTTGTAGTTAAGGATAGGCAGAAGGGTACATTTTAGTAAAATTAGGATCAACCCAGGTTTTTTTTTAAGTCAGTATGAATTCGAATGCAATTCGGGCAAACATATATATTAATTGAAGTCATCCAGTAATATAATTGGAACGAAAAAAATCTTGATAATTTTAATTTTGATAATTTTTAAATTCCGATTTATTTCACCACTACCCAACATTTTGTCTAAGTGTATTATTTACATTTTAAATGATAAAAATGACCAATAACATATTTTGCAACCGAGACACACAATTACAATTTAATCAACCCTTTTATCTAAACAAACGGTCCAATTGGACCTCCACGATCAAGCTAGCCCATACAATTTTATAACCCTACAACCCACAGCTTGATAGTCATACAAACACTTTTATTTCGGTCTCTGCCGTTATCCCGTAGCTAAAAAGCGTGATACATGGTAAACGACCTTAACAGCTATATCGAAATCCAGCTTTTGAGTGTGTACCTGGCCGTAATCGGGTGACCACGTGTGGTCTAAAGTGTAAGATGTAGCGATTGTGACATTACAACAAATTCTAGTTGAATATTCAGTAATATGACGTCACTGGAGAGATGACCATGAGTTTTTTTATTAATTCATCCTTTAATTGGTGACGAGCCTATTTCCACACGTCAGGAACTATTTCAGGCTCTGTGCTGTTGTACTAGTAGGATGTTTAATACAAAAAAAACCAACAATACCAAATTAAAAATGACTGCGCGGTAGGCGCGGTGGTTGGGCTACCGGCTGCCACGCAACATGTCGCGGGTTCAAAATTCCCGCACGGAACAACTCTTTGTATGATTTACAGACTTATACTAGGGAGGCTAAGGCCTAGTATGTTTTTTACTGGGTAAAATGGGTAAAAACCCCTTAAAAGAGGTTTTAAAATTATCGTATTGGCCTCATCAATCATAGTCATATAATTTGAAAGAAACAAAAATATCAATTAATCACTATTTATAATCAAGATAAAATATAGATTAAGTATGTGGGCTCTGCGCACGGTACCCTCACATTACTGATAACTTTTGCACTTCTTTTGGGGTCGTTATCGTCTTAATATTTACACACAACTCTATTTTGATATAATTTACATGACACTCTATGATTTACATTTTTATCTCCAATCATTGAAATTACTCATTAGTTATGATTATTCGTAATACCATGACTTTGATATTTTTATAGAACAATTTAAAGTTACGGTATACACTAGCCGGGGTATTTATTTTCAATAAAAATATATTCTTATATGCAAATTAAGTGCATTGCATGTATGCCCGCTTCAGCTTATGGCTTGCGCCTCAACAAAGGTCCAGCCGAAATGGGCTCTCACAGTTTTCAGCGCACATTTGAATGGAAACGACTTTATTCAGATAACTACCCGCGATTTTATCTTGCTATATTTCATGCTCAGATTACGTGCTTGCCTCCCTTTGGCTTTGTTTTTTCGCCGTCAAAACGCCAACGTTGAAACGAAATTAATTGGTTCGATATTTGAATGTTACTGGGTAATTGGATGGGGTTATGTAGAAGGGTTGACGTGTTTATTTTGCGGAAATAAATACATACTAAATACGGTAGAAATGTATAAATCTGATGTATACACTAATATCTGTAAAGTTATAATGACAAGGCAAAATAATATTTACACCACGGCGCCGTTGGTGAACATAAACCTGATTCTTACCTCATTGATAAAAATTGTTCGTAGTCATTGTTGTATAAAACACGTATCTATATTAACGTAGTCACGATGACACGAATAATTCACGAGCAGATATAAAGCGCACGCGCTGGGAGCATCCTTCAGTATCGTACTACGGTTCACTATCACACAGTCAACATGCCTCTTAAAATCTACAAGTTGGACGCGAGTCCCCCTGCCCGGGCGGTGATGATGTTAGCTGAGCTTCTGAAGCTCAAGCACGAGGCTGTGGACGTCAACCTGATGACTGGAGATCACCTCACACCAGAGTACTTGAAGAAGAATCCACAACACACAGTACCACTGCTGGAAGATGGTGACTTCTATGTAGCTGACAGTCACGCCATTAACACATACTTAGCCTCAAAATATGGCGGTGCACAGTCAGCGCAGCTATACCCTACAGACCTCCAAGTCAGAGCGACCATCGACTCAAGGCTGTACTTCGACATCTCAGCCATCGCAGGAAACTCGGGTGCTATAGTTAGTGCACTTCTTCGTGGAGATATCACATCCCCCACTAAAGAACAAACCGACAAGCTGAACTCCGCCTATGAAATTTTGGACAAATTTTTACAGAAGACCAAATACGTGGCAGCAGATCATCTGACAGTGGCTGACATTTCACTGGCAGCTAGTTTATCATCGGCATCCCTTTTGGTCCCTATTGACGAGAAGTACAGTAAATTGACGGCCTGGTTCAACACAATCCAACAGGAGGACTGGTACAAGAAGGCTAACGGACCAGGACTAGAAGCATACAAAGCATTCGTGCAGTCCAAACTGAAGTAGATTGTAATTGTAAGTCCTACACCTATCCGTTTATGTTATTGTTTGAACTGAATAAATTATTATTTTAATGTAACAAAAGGTGTATATTTTATTTGTAAATCGTTGGTTAACCTTGTGTTGGAGCAAAACTATTTTGCATCACTCATTGATGACGTTTTTTATTATAATTACATTTTTATGTTCCAAATTTAATATAATTTTTCTTCATCTCCAGTTTTGTACGTGAAGTTTTGTACCTTGTGTGTGTTATCAAAAGACTAATTACACTGTAGATTACTTTCTGTTTTGTGTTCAAACCATTTTTTTCTATCTTAACATTTAGAAACGATCAACATAAAACAAAATTAAAATCTAAAACAAAAGTGTCGTTAAAAATAAATAAATATATGTCACGATGTTAAACATCAATGAGTAGTACTTTTACTTTGAATTAAATTTAGAAACACCTGACATTCTGATAACACTGTAATCTTACACTTAGTCGATTGTGTAACAATTATCACCATGTCAATATACAACACTGCGATAACAGTTACATATAAGGCCATGGCTATATATGTTTAGCCAGTACTTCGACCACATAGCAACAGTCACGATGGTCATCAGGATATACAAGAAAGACGCTAGTCCACCAGCCAGGGCTGTCTTGATGGCTGCAGAGATCATCAACTTGAAGTGCGAAATCCAAGATGTCGACTTATCATCAGGACCACACCTTTCTCCAGAATATCTTGAGAAGAACACTCTACATTCAGTACCATTCTTAGAAGATGGTGATTTCTACCTGGCTGATAGTCATGCCATCATCACATATTTAGTATCGAAATATGGTGCTGAACACCGATCGAAGTGGTACCCTTGTGATTTGAGTGTAAGAGCGACTGTGGACCAGCGAATGTATTTTGATACTTCTGATTTATTTCCTCATATTAAGAATATTGTAAGTGTGATTGTGACGCAAGGAGTAGGTCCAGATGCTGAACAGATAAAGGCAATTAATGCTGGTTATGAAGTCTTGGACAAATATTTGCAGAAGACGAAATTTGTGGCAGCCAATCATATGACTCTAGCTGATGTGTCGTGTGTGGCGAGTGTGTCTTCTCTAAATGTCCTGTCGATAGCAGGTATGCTTATCTCCTCAAATGGTGGAATACGCTGAAAGAGGAAGAGTGGTACAAAAAGGCAAATGAACCCGGATTGGCTAAGTTAGAAGCGTATGTTAAGTCGAAATGGAATAAGTAAAAGTGATTATTTAATTGAATATTTCGTTTTTTAATAAACTTTTTAAGTAATGTAAAAGTGGTCAATACATTTCTTATTACTTCACATTTTTAACTGTATAAGCAATTTTTTTTTGTTTATGGGTTCTTGCTATTGCAAGCATTTTCTTAAATTAATATTTCTATTCATCATTATCATCAACAGCCATTAAATGTCCACTGCTGAGCAAAGCCTCTTCTCACACGGAGAAGGTTTGAATATTAATCACCACGCTTGCTTATTGCGGGTTGGCATTTCTATTTAACGGTAATAAAATAAAAATTTTACCAAGTTAACTTAAACGGTTAGTCAATTTCACTTCAACTTGGTCATACCAGAAAAAATCTTAAGCACCAATCATCAAGTCTCCAATTAATAAACAAACTTCCATAACACCAAATAACCCCATACTAATTCTGTTTGTTATTACAATAGAATAATATCTCCATCACTATGCCAGTAATAGGATATTAGTACTGTAACTGCCATCCACCGCACGCTTCCACTGCATTTACCAATAACAGAACTTAATTGAGGAAACTAGTCGTGGAAGACGTGGCCGAAAACTTTTCTATAAAGACATGATATCACGGCAATGGATGATGACAGTGTATGAAAATTAAAAATTAATTAGTCCGTAAGTTAGGTAATGAAAAAATATTAGACACGTATTTTTTTATTTTGTTGTATAATAAAACAATACTTAGATAAAACGAATCAAAGTTTAGGAGTGGGGGCTAAAACGTCATCTCTTAGTATAAAATGTACATAGAAGTGACGTCACGCGACATTTCAAATCAAAATATCATCGAAAGTATTCGTTTCTGAAAGAAAATAAAAAATATGTGTCTAATGATTTAAAACAATCTACAAGACGGGCATTAAAATAAAAATTAGGCATCTACCCTATTGTGAAAAAATGCAGCAAGATACATATACATACTCATTGTATCTTGGGTCTTTAGATGTTTATTTATTTCCATTACTAACATCACGCCTTTTATCCCCAAAGAGGCAGAGGTGCACATAATGGCACTTAATGCCACTGTACAATGTAACACCAACTTTTCACTATTTTTGTTATAAGCCTATTCCTATATACCGGGCACAATTTCAGACTCCGTGCTACTACTAAGTTTTTTTTAAAAAACTCCAGAATTACTTTGCCCGACCCGGGTATCGAACCCAAGACTTCAAACCTTCAAGAAAAGAGCGTATTCCTTTTTAAAAGGCCGGCAACGCACCTGTGACTTCTCTGGTGTTGCGGGTGTCCATGGGCGGCGCTTATCGCTTACCATCAGGTCCGTCTGCTCGTTTGCCTTATTCCATAAAAAATTAATATGCCAGTTTGTAAAACAATAACACAAATAAAAAATAATTGAATTATTCGATTTATTAGTAGCAGATAAAGTTACATTAACCGCGGAACAATCCCAACTTAGGAACTCTTTAAAAGTATCTCACTAAACAAGTACAGCTTAAGCAATAACTTCATTTAATTAATCTCACAGCTCTCCCGCTAATAAGCGTAAACAACAGAGCTGGCCGAATTTAAGGCACCCCCCAATACCGGCCAGCGCGTATTTATAAAGGGAAAAGGGCCAAATCGTAATGATATACGCAGTAGATTTATCCCGGTCGGTCCGTTTGTCAATGTTCACGGCGAAATTAATTACGGATCGGTCATGGGTTCGAATCCCGTGCCACGTATTTGAATGGTCATTTGGGATGGAAGTAATTAAGATAAAATATTGTTTTATTTGTCGGATTTGTATTGGAGAATGGTTACCATTTTGCGGGCAAAGAGTTTTTGTGTCGTCCCATTTTTTTGGCCAATATTGTTGATTTAATTTACGAGTTATTGAAGGGGATTGACAAATTGATACGAGTTGCCAGATTACATTTATATCGATCTGGTGTTGCCAATCGCGTGCGGATCAATTAATTCAATGCTTAATCACTTTTAAATAGAATGTTTTATTTTATTGCTGGGCCTTGTTTTGGTTCGTTAACTTGTTTTTGCACAACACATTTAATGTATTTAGAAAAAAGGCTACAGTAAAAAGGAATTATATTTCGTAGGTACTTACCAACGAGTCCCACGTTTAGAATAAGGAAAATAACACCCCATATAATAAAACAATAAAAAAATGCTTACAACGGTTTCCTTTTCCACCAAAAACCCCGCGTACCCCATACTAAAATAAAATGATTAAGTAACTTATTTTTGTTCATCCCCAAATTAGCACAAAGGCAGCCATTACAAGTTTTGTAAAAAAATTAGTGATAAAAGTTGTAAAAACGGTGGAAGTCAATAAAAGGGATGTTTGTACCCTCGGCTGGCAGCCACCGGGGTATTTTCAGAAACACAACCCCTAAAGGGAAAATCCTCAGGGAAAATCTAGTTGTCTATAGATAGGAACACCATGCTGTAATGTCTAAGAATACAGGAAGGGAAAATGTTTTATTTATTTCAGGATATGGAGCAAAACATATTCATAATTTTTCACCTATTCTATCTCCTCTAGAGAGAGGACGTACGATTGTATACTTTCGGAAAAAACTAAGTTTGGTATTCTTCAAATTAAAAGAATATCAAAACAATTTTCATTTGAGAAACCCATTTTACCTTTCGTGGAACACAACATAACTTAATTTTATCTGAATCAAAAAATTTCTTCTAATCCCTGTACCAATGGTCACCCTACGTTTAAGTAACAAATATATCGTGGCACCTTTCTTTGTTTTTCGCACAAACTCGGCCGTTGGCCTGAGTTATCGTCGTCTTACCTTCGACATCCCCCCCTCCCTCTCCTCAGAGGGTGTCCTACCCTCTCCCCCTCCGGTCATTTGTCATGCCTGCAGTTATGTTATCCCTTATTGATTGTTATGATTTTAGAATGAGCCGCTGTATCGTGTGTGTCAAGGATTTTATCAACTGGACATTGATTTTTTATTCAAGAATTGTGTAAAAAAAACTTATTTGTAACTCGATGAGGTTAAATGAAACTATTTAAGTGGTCGATCTAGACGTAGACCACCTTTCCTATTACATTTAATAGTGACTAAAAAGTGGTAAATCAGGATTTATTTTCTGACCACTGTCGTGAAACTACTTTATTGTTTTGATTGCGACCTCCTCTACAAAACACTAGCATCCACCGCAAAATGTTCTCTTTAGAAGAGCATAGTTTATCAAGAGCTGACCTTGGAGGACAACGTAGACTGGTTTCGATGGAAAATTATGAGTAAATCTTTAGGAAGTACAGCCAACAACACCACTAGGTTTTCCCTCGAACAACAGCCAGCAAAAATGATAAACAGTACTTCCGTACTTGAGCGAACAAAACACAAATATGTTTGTCATAGTTAGCAGTGGGGGGGCGGCCAGAAATAATTACCTAATAAAGATTTCTGATACGCCAGTGTTACAAGGAAAAGCTATTTTCTGGTCGGTGGGCTGGTGAGGGGGGAGGGGTGGGGAAAGGGGGGTGGCTGTCAGCGCCAGGAGTTTTGATGAACACACGTATTAATGTGCCAAGTGATTGTTCCCAACGTTGCTGCTGCGATTTCTTCGCAGTTCGTTTAAGTATTGTCGTTGGGTAATCGAGTAGTTTACAAGTTTTTTTTAGATATAATTACATGCTATTCAATAACCTCTGGTTACTGAGCTAGCCAAAAGTTTTGGTATTATTTTTTTAATTCTTGATGGGCCGACGTTTGACCACTATCTCGCCTGGTTTACGATGGACCACGTCGTCCCATAAGCAACCTATTCACTCGGGCCTTGAAGACTCCCTTCAGGAAATACAGTAAAAGATTTCACTTTATTAAAATATACAGTTTAATGTAGCAATAGTTCTTGTCTCTGAACTGACTCAATCTTACCAAATAATTTGGTTAATTTTGACAAGTAGAAGTGTTGCCTTGTAGCCTATTTGCAGAAATAAATTCACTTCTGTCAATTCATACAATAATTTCAGCTGACTATAAAGTTACAACTATTGATTATACCTCTATTATGTTACTTTGCTAATCTCAATTCTCGGTTATGACCTTGAAATCAACGTGTTAAAACAATTCAGTCCAAAGTACTTCGATGTAACAGTAAATAAAGCCCTTAACATCGATAGATTTAGAACATGACCTTAATTGGGAGACTATGGACTGTACACTGTACAGTGGCAGATCAACCTACGGCGTCTATCAAAGCTATCATTGTAGTTTCAACTTTATGCTAAAATGATAAAGGTTGAAAACCCAATAAAGGGAAGCGTCTGTACTATCAGTTTGAACTTCATAAACTTTCAATGAAATCCTACTTGTATAGATTGGCTTATAGCCTATAGGTTTTTCTGAGATATTAAGATTTCGAAAAGTACCGAGAAGTTTAGTCCCAAATCATGAGAAGTATTAGTTACTGTGTACAGACTATGTTATGTCGCTTGTAACATTTTGAACCATCTCTATTCCACACGCAGCGTCTAAATTATGACAAACCTTTTGACGTTTCAAAAGTGCCTAATTAAGATTTTTGACGGCACCGTTGGTACAGTGACTGGGCAACCGACTGCCGCGCAACGTGTTGCGAGTTCGATTCCCGCGAGAAGCAATTCTTTGTGCGTGTGTTCCATTAATTGTTGTTCCGGGTCTGGGTGCCATGTGTATGTGAACTTGTATGTTTGTAAACACACCCACTACATAGAATAAAATCCTATTACGCGGCAAAGCTTTTTTTAAAAAAAGAGAGGCAACGACCAAAACCTTATTTTAACAGCTGCATATGCACTGTTCATAAGATGAATGTGGCAATCGTACATTAATTATTATTATCTAACGTTGTACTGTTTCTATTAAATCATCTTCACTTACTGTGATACAAAACAAAAACTCGGGAGC